GCCAGCCGCCCTGCCTGCTCCCGCAGGCGCTCCTGGCCTCCCTCCTCGCGTCCCGCAGCCCCTCCTCTCTGACCGGCGGCGCGTCCCCCGGCTCCCTCCTGGCCTTGGCCGCAGCCTGAGCGTGCCCTTCCTGACCTTCGGGGTCTCTGTCCTCCTTCTTGTCTGGGTGTCTGCCGGGCTTCCTGGGCTCCTGGGTGGGGTTCCTGGGGCTGCTCCTGTGGCTCTCGGCCCTCCCCCCTTCCTCCCCGGCTGCAGGGTGGGCCTCGGGCGACCGCCGGCAGCTCCTGGTCCTCACCAGCTTCTCGGCCGCCGCCTCGTACCTGTGGCTCTTCCCCAAGTCCAGCTCGCTGGTCCCCAGGGACAGCCTCTCCCTCTGCAGGCCCTGCTGGAGCTCCCTCTCTCGCCTGCACTTCTCACACCGGATGATCTCACCCGAGGTCCTTTCGATCTCCACGCCCAGGTGCTTCTCGCCGCTCGCAGGTCTGTCCAGAGCAGCTTCCTTGGGCGGCCTGCTGGCAGGCTCGGGCTCCCGCTTGCCCCCGACCCACTTCTTCTGGGGCCTCGCCCTGTCCTCCGGCGCTGGCTCCACCGGGGCCTGGCCCCGATGTCCGGGGGCCGCCTTGGACGTGCCAGCCTCCCCGCGGCCCTTGGCCGCGTCGCTCTCCCCACAGTGGTGACCCCCTCTCAGAGCCCTGCTATAGAGCCTGCTTCGCAGCCTCGGAGAAGGGGCCCGGCTGTGCTGGGTCAGGGTCAGGGCCCGGGCTTTGCTGGGGTAGAGTTCTTCTACGGCTACCTGAATGTTCTTCAGGGTTAACGGTTCTTTGCCCATGGCTATGAAAGCATCCCCTTCCCTGAAGAAATCGGAGACGCTCCTGATCTCCTTGCCCTTGAGGTTAAAGAGCTTCCTCACGCGATCGTTCTTCCATCTGGGAAAGCCCAAGGCCTCGGAGATGTCTGCCAAGAGCTGCTCAAAGCTCTGCACCGACCGTCTGTTGAGGAGCAGGGTGACCTTCCGGAGCGGGTGCCCGCCCAGCTTCACCACGGTCACCACCCTGGGCTTCAGAGGGCTGCTCTCGGCGTGGACGGGGTGGAGGCCATTCTGAGGGCCGAGCACGGGTGCGACGGAGCCCCGCGGCCCCAGGAGTGGTTTCTCCAAGTTCCCGCAGCCCGCAGGCAGCCACGTGCCTTGCAGCTTCCGCACCGTGATTCTGGAGCTTAAAGATTTTAGAGAATGGTCACACAGGCTTCCGCGTCCTGCAAGAGGAAAATGACAACACTGTGTCAGTTGTGATGGGTTCAAGGGGCCCACTGGCCTTCGCCAAAACTTTACTGAGGGTCACGGGTTCTATTAGGGTCTGTAGGTGTGATCGTGGAGGGTCTGTTTGAAACGATGGAAGCCTGTGCACTTGGGACCTTATCCCCGGTCTCCCCTGTAAGAGACGAGGAACGCCGAATGGAGTCAGCCTCGGGCCTGGGTCACTCCTCTATGCCTCCCAGGAACCCCCAGAATGGGCCACACATGGAGAGTTCTCACTAGGCTAGGCCTGACCCTGGAAACGCAGCCTCTGCCCCCCTGAAGTGAGCCGACTCTCCAGGATACACAACGGAGATCACAGGCCCAGGGTTTGCCACCCAGGAAACACCAACAAGTCAGAACGTTCTGGAGCTGGAAAGAACCCAACTTTCCCCCGCCTCTTTGCCAGGAAGAGTTTTCTCAGCTTGACTTTCAACTCACTGGAGGTGAGGTGGTACCTGAAGGGGTGATGACCACCGACTCTGAGACAGACCTGGATTTGAACCCTGGCACGGCCACTGACTACTTGTGTGAACGTGGGCAAATCACTCATGCTTCTGTCCTTTCAGTGAGGACGTGGGGATGCAAAGGGTTTTTGTGAGGGGCAAACAGGAAAATGATTGCAGTTCACTTAAAGGGGTGTTTGGCACACAGTGAGGGCACAGTAATTAACACTGTCCTTAGAGTCTCAATATCTCTTTTGTATGGTATTTTCATTTTGGTAGTAATATATTACACTGGGAAGGCAGAATCCACTTGGCATCACAAGAACTCATGGACCAGCACGACAGGGCGGGTATTT